ATGCTTGACACAACTATTATAATCCGGTACAATCATGTTTTTAGATCAAGGGTGGGGGCGGCCACGTTCTAAAACGTCCTTCTTTGCGAAACTATACGCCCCTCCATTATTTATTGTATGATTACTCCATCTAACAAAGTCTGTAAGCATGTACATTATTTTTCCTACGATTTTACAGCGTGGTTAGGTGCTCGGAGAGAGCCAATAACTGGTCAGTTTAAATGGGAAGTATCCAATCAAACACTTGCATATAGTAAACTCCAGTTGTCGAGCTCCTCTACACCCGAAGATTGCATCCTGATCCAAAATGGAGATGCAAAGAATAGTGACTGCAATAAAAGCTATTCGTTTGTTTGTGAAACAGGTTATAATTTAATAATAACTAATATAAATTTTTTAAAAATATATATTATATACAATATTTGCATGTTAGATGACAGAAAACAGACAGACATACAGACAGACAGATAAACAGATGGATATACAGATAGATGGATAGATGGATAGATAGATAGATAGATAGATAGATAGATAGATAGATAGATAGATAGATAGATAGATAGATAGATAGATAGATAGATAGATAGATAGATAGATAGATAGATAGAGAGATAGATAGATAGATAGATAGATAGATAGATAGATAGATAGATAGATAGATAGATAGATAGATAGATAGATAGATAGATAGATAGATAGATAGATAGATAGATAGATAGATAGATAGATAGAGATACACAGATACATAGATACATAGATACATACATATATACATAGATAGACACATAGATATAGATTAATAAAGGATTTATTACTTTTTTTTCAGAAATCACAAAGTGTAACAGTGTGATGACCGATGCCCTTTCCTTATCAAATAATTGTTTCAAGCATTATGAAATAAGTTTGTGGTCAAAAAATGCAATGGTTGGTTAGAGCAATTTTAAAAAATAATATTTCGTTCTTTAAAAATAAATCTTTAGCCAGTTTTTAACCGAAATTTCTTTTTTTTAAATTCAAATATCGATTTTTCTTTTAAAATGTATAACTGTCGGTACATATGCTCTGTCTTCATCCCCTTTTAAAAAAAAATAAACTAGCAAATACCCAAGCTTTTTATGGGTTTGTATTTGTAAAAACAACTTCTAAATAGTTATCAGCGTATATTCAGATTTAGGGCCCCGTCAGAAATGACACTTAATGTGACTTAAGAGCAAATTCTTTTTTTTAAATGTATCTATAGTAAGCAACATTTTTAATAACTCTTTTCATTATGACTTTGGGTTGCCGATGCCGTTTCAGTTGATATTCAAGCTGAGCAAGGCCAAGAAACACGAATTACTGACAAATGAAACTTTTAAAAGATGCCTCATTTTAAAAAAATGTATTCACCAATGTCAGATCTATGATCGTTAATTAATTAAAGTAAAATTGGATCCTCATTCAATTCCCTAAGACAGGGGAACTATAGAAATTTCCTCTGATAAATATTCAATTTCTTTTACTTTTCAAATTTGTCCGAAAACAATCTGCAAGAATTTGCAAAAAAATATTGCCTTTGAAAATATTTTCTACTGTGGCCCTGGGCGCCAAAAGATCATAAACTTCGATGAATTACAGTTGAGAGTATTTCTGTTTGGATAGTGAAGAAGCTGTTTTTAAAACAATTATCCCATTAACATCGATGAAAAGGCCGAAGATCATTCGTTTTAGTTAAATCAACATTTGCCCCCCCCCCCCGCCCTCCATTTTTCCCCCCAAACCATTCGAACAAAAAGATGTGGATATTATAAATTTTTAATCCCATTTTAAAAAACTATTATGAAAGATGTGTTTACCAATAAAGAAGCTTTTTTTAAAACAATTAACCCATTAACAACGATGAAAAGGCCCAAAATCATTCGTTTTAGTTAAAACAACATTTGCCCCCCCCCCCCCGCCCTCCATTTTTCCCCCCAAACCATTCGAACAAAAAGATGTGGATATTATAAATTTTTAATCCCATTTTAAAAAACTATTATGAAAGATGTGTTTACCAATTGTGGCAAAGATGCACCAGTAGATGAAGAGCATACATTGAAACAAGAGCTTTTTTCTAGAGCTTTGGCTATTGTTTGGAAACCGCATTGTGGAACCTCCCATTCTCATTTTGGAATTTTCTAGAAACTTCCAATATTTCTTTCAATTTAATTTCATAATTTTTTAGGAATATCATAGAGATTTCTGTAAACATAAGAAACATAAAAAGGACATTTATATAATCTTGAATGCCTTTAAGACACAGCAAAAGTTCTATAATAAAGTAGAAAATGAATTAAACGTCTTGTATATTTTGAGGGCCTGCCATGCTGGCTCCATTTTTTTTTTTTTTTTTTTTTTTTTTAAATTTTAAATAAAAAGTTGTTTTTAAAAATTAATTTTTTTTTTTATCTTTTTTTCAAATTTTAAACTTTTTAAAACAAATTGCCGTAATTCCAGATGTTTTTCATCAAATTTAGAGTAAGGGCGCCGCTGGAGACCCATTCTAAAGGGTGGCGTTTTGATCTCCACTAAGAGCGTTTTTGAAATATATATTTTTAAATGTATTTGTACCAAGTTTGTTCAAGATTTATCCATTAATTGTAAGTTCGTTTAAATAATTTTTTTAAAAATTGGGCCCCCAAACCCTGAATAGGATATCTTTTCTTTTGTATAATGAAGTGAAAAAATTATAACTCTCAATTTTGATCGTGATTAATTAAAACATGTAGAAATGTATGCGGTACAAAGAGAAATATGTGCTCAAGTATATAGTCGATACATATTATACCAGAAAGATAAATGGATTGACATTTTAAATCTTACTGAGTGATTTTCATGGGAAACTGTGCAACGCCAGATATGTTTGCTAGTATTAGATACGTTTTACAACTGTGTAAATTATTATATCTGTTTTTTTTAAAGAAAACAAAACAAAAAACTATTACATTTATTAACTAAAGAGAATCCTTTTACTATATATCTAAAATAAGTCAAATGTTCCACCCAATCAATAGAATCCCATGTACTTCACAAAGGGTAAGAAAAATCGACTTTTTACTGTCCAACCGCTGGTGAAGGGGAATATTTTTCTATATTGGTTGCTGTGGCTTCATCACAGGGGCGTTGCAAAATATCACACATACTTCATAATTTTATTTCAAGTTTTAATCCAAAGTGGCATCTAGTGGTCATAATAACCCATTGGATTAACTATTGTTTGCAGTGACCTATAACGCATAGTGACCTAGATACGTCTAATATATATTTTTACCCAATAGTTTATTGTAATATTTTTATGTAAATGCTATTTAGAATTGTACTTGTATGAATTTAACACAGGACGTCTCGTAAAAGTTTAAAATTGGCATAGGTGCTGGGGATCGAAAACTTTAAGGAACCACTGGTGTAGCCCAACAAAATACTAGTCACTTGCGCTTTGCCCTTTAAGGGGCAATCAATATTGCTGTAACACCTCTAATACCGAGTACTATCTGAGCTACATTTTGCGAGTTCATTTGTGAAAAAACATAGCAATATTATGACAATAATTCCTATAAAACATTGCGTAATATTTGTACAGCCTTTCCAGAAAAAAAAAATGTGTATGATTTTTAGAGTTTGTGGATGATTATTGTAGAATTTTTTGAATAAATTTACGTACTTTCTACCGAGACTACCCTTCCCCCCCTCCCCCGACCACAGAAAGATATATGCAAAATCTCCAAAATTTACAACCCTCTCCCCCAGTGCATACATAATTAATGGATTCAGACAAAGTCTTATCATTAAAATATATTTTTATATTGTTTTTTAAGGATGCGATATAATTATATGTTAGGTTTTTATTTCATTTTAATTCTACCTTTCAAAGTCATTTTGCCTTGCAAATAATTCTCATCTTGCTGAGCCAACCACAACAGTTATGATCAATATGTTGTCCATTTACCTGAGGAAACTTCAAGAGGGTAATTATACTACTTTCTTGTAATCATCAACATACGCCTTATAATTGGTAAGATTTTAGTAGCACATATTTAGCTGTTTTAAGGAATAAACTTCGGGCTATAGTGAGTGGGAAAATTTGGATCTTTTCTAATTTTTGTTTATAGAATTTATAATAAAAATAAACATTTTTTGTTGTATTTTAACCTCAAAAATTGTTGAAATAGCTCTAGAGAAGATTTATATGTTTCCTTTTATTTTTTTGTGAGTGTTGTGCGATGTGGAAACTTGTTTCACCTAATGTGTTTAAAAAAAGTAATTTTAATGCTTTAAAAATATATATTTGATATAGACCTTGTCTTGATAACAAATTGTTGAAAAGGACTCGCAAATCATGTTCCATATTGTATTTTTTGTTTAAACATTTTTTTTAAAGGATGCCTTTAATTGACTAAATATTATACTCGTTTACCAGTTGTATATTCCATATTGTTTATGACTGATCATTCAAGACGAATATGTTCCTGGTTAGAGACGTTTGTATTTCATTTATTTTTATACAAATCTGTGTTGTGAAAATTAGCTATCCCATGTAGCTAATAATGAGCACACGTGTATGAATCCTTTCTAAAGACGACACAATTTAAAAAAAAAAACAACAGTTTATAAATTAATGAGCACAAACGTTTTGTCTTGTACTTCGAATATAAATATTTATTCCAATTGGATTAAATGTGCCTCAGTAGGCATTAAAATTAGACGATCTTTGGCCAACCCTATTTTTTTGGTCATAATTATAATTTTATAATTTTTCAAAAAGAACAATTTCTTTTAGTTATTACCTGGACATCGACAATAACTGAAAAATCATAAACCAGAAATTCTTTGAGAGCCCTACCAATGTATCGCTTTGCTCTGAATTATTTATGGCCATAAAGATCTCTACCTTTAAAGTGGCATTTTAACTTTTATTTTCTTCTTTAAAAAGTCAGGTTTGGAGACTTTAATGCATATAATGAAAGTACCCAGTTCTGGGCAACCAGTGGTGAGCAGGTTTCTAGTCTCTTAAATGGTGTAGGAGGAGACGGATATCTATCATGGAACGGTTCCAGTTTGATAAAGAAATCAAAATACAATGCCGAGAATGAAACACGTGGATTCGTGTGTCAGACAGGTAGGTACTAGACATTTTTAAAATCAAAATACTAGCTTAACATTAACGAAACATATATATATATTTTTACACTCCTCTGCATGAGAAGAGAAATATATTAATTAACACAAAGCTTTTAAAAAAAAAAATATTTAAAAGGGATTACAGAATAATGTTTCAATCAATATACTTATTCGAATAAATTGCAGTCATATTTAACTGCAAATTGTATAGGATAAATGTTCAATATTAAATTACCCAATATATATATATATAGCCTTTTATCTTTGTTTAAACAGCTGCCGTAGACCAAAATCCACGTCATTACTTGGCCATTCTCCCACACATGCCTTTCACCAATTCCAACACAGGATATCTCAAGGTAACGGCCAACTACACATTTACTGTGTATGTGAAGTTCCAAGTGATGAATGGCGAGAGCACTGGCGTGGAGGATGAGCGCATCGAAGCCCTATCACCTAAAAATGAATTGAAATATGAACTGAATTCTTCACCTGCCAGCTTACGAAAAGGTGATTGTGTTTCTGATATATTTCAACGATCTTAAATCTCAACAAAATTAATTTTGGCGTTATTTTTTAAAATATTTTCTTCTTAAAGGGACGAATCGGGAATTGTATTTTTAAAACAAGATAGTGTAGTGAGATTACTGTTTGTGTCTCTTGAACCAAACCGGGCCTATATCAGGTTGACCACCAAAAACGGAATACAAGTCAAGAAATCGACTCGATCTTCATGTAAGTTTTCGATGACGACTGCATCTAAAATTTCGCTTCAAACACAAGCCAGTCATTTTATGTAGACACTCTCTGTTGTTCAATGATTCGATATACACACTCTAGCCAGAAACTCTGTAGAGAAATTCTAGCCAGATACTCGATAGAGTCAGATTCTAGCATGATACTCGATAGAAACAGACATTTGCCAGATACTCGATAGAGACAGACTCTAGCCAAATACTCGATAGAGACAGACTCTAGCCAGATACTCGATAGAGACAGATTCTAGCGGGATACTCGATGGAGACACTCTACCACTAAGACATTTTCTTGGCACCCGTTATTTCGATTTCATCTCTTTTTGTTCTATACATTGACGGCCCACGGTCAAGTACAGATTGCGGCGAGACCAACTGTATAAATTAGGTCAACCCTGTATTATAACCTTATGATAAGCATCAATGTACTATTAACATAAACTAGTATCTGGGACCATTAGTCGTATTTGTTGACATATACATTTTAAATTATGTTTGATGGGAAATCCTTGTACCCGCAAAAATCTCATGTCTGCATTAAAAGTTCACTTCTAACTGTGTGTAACTCCTAAAGTTCCTTTCATTCAATCTCAGAAATTGTCCTCAGGTTCTCGGTCAGCTTTTGTCAACATATACACCAACCAACCCGTCTCAGTAACACTATTCGTTATGGACGGACGTGAGCACGGGGCAGGGCAAGACATCTTTTTAGCCAGCGCACGTGTCAACACCTCTAGTGCCACTTACCTTCTATTTCCAATGTTACCTGAAGTAAACGGTAAATATGTATTTACAAGGTTGCTAGGTCTCCACAAATTTATCTACAAAGGGGCACAACAAACTAATATGAAAGATCACCTTATGCTCAACCTGTTCTTCCCCTTTTTTCTCAACCATACTTTTTTTTTTCTTTTTTCGTAAAATATTCTTTATTTTTAGTCAAATGCCATTTCTTCCTCAACCCTATAACCTCAATCCTATAACCTCAACCCTATAACCTCAACCCTATAACTTCAACCCTATAACCTCAACCCTATAACCTCAACCCTATAACCTCAACCCTATAACCTCAAACCCTATAACCTCAACCCTATAACCTCAACACTATAACCTCAACCCTATAACCTCAACCCTATAACCTCAACCCTATAACCTCAACCCTATAACTACAATAAACTATTCGAACTAAAACTTAAGGACACCATTCTACACACCCCTGTCTTAATATTTAATCCGCTATTAACAACGTACTCTTTCCTAGCTCCACGAACGTTATGCGAAATGAAATGATAAGGGGAACAAAAATAGGTGTTAAAAAATTTACATTTGTCCATTTTCTCATTCACGCCTTAATTTAAAATCATTAAAAAAATAATAAATCACCTTTGAACAATTTTCATTTCGAAAGAAAAAAATATTTGTTCAAATAATTTCCGTCCAACTACACGTCAAGAAAATTTCTTGCGGAAATAATTTTTCAGGTCTAATTAAGCCCTACCTAAATCGGTACGAATTTTGTCTAAATTTGTCAATTATTTGAACGACTATTTTGTGCTTTGGAATATTCCATAATATTTCTTCTTAAGCATCGATTTTCTGCTTTATGATTTGTGAAACGCCCCCCTCCCCCCTTTTTTTTCCATAATTTAACTTAAGCCAATATTTAATTCCATCGAAACACAATTTTGTCCCCCCCCCCCAAACATTATGCTTTATGATTTGTGAAATGCCCCCCTCCCCCCTTTTTTTTCCATAATTTAACTTAAGCCAATATTTAATGTCATCTAAACACAATTTTGTCCCCCCCCCCCCAAACATTGATTATTGAAATAATTTGATTTTCGCTTTAAGTTTTTCAGCTGCTCTATTTTTTTTTAAATTATCCATACATTGATGACACTATTCCTGTAATTGCAGACGTGAACGACACACGAGGTTCTGGATTTAACCAATGGAAGGATGAAATTAACAAGAAGCTAATTGTTGACGCAAAAACCACATCCGCTTACAGAAGGTCCAAAGAGTCCTCTCCGGACACGCGACTGTCAGCTAAAGTGATCGGCAGTGTTCTTGGCATAAGTGTTATATCTTGTGCTTTCTTTGTTATATGCGTGGGTGATTTCATATCCCTAACAATTTATTGTTTTAATTTTTTAAAGAAGCTCATTGTAACTCAAAATAAGGTAGCTAATATCAATGAATAAAACGCAAAGACCTGCTTAAAAAGACACAAGAAACAAACACAGAAAAGATTAATAAAATCTTAGATTTTAGTCTGATAAAGTAATGTTAGGCTTAAGATTGTAATATCGGATTAAAAATTAAATCACCTGTTGCTGATTTCTCACGGATACACCACATCTGAGGAGTTTGGCCGAGAACACATTGTTAATAAAACGTTTCTTTCGAAGTTTCAATTAAAGGGTTATTATATTTTATCAAGGTGGTAATTTACTCTTTGACATCCTTTATGATACAAGCAAATTTAATCATCGGTAGGAAATATACCGATTTGAACTTCTACGAAAAATTTACAGGAAATATCAATTATTTATTTATTTTAAAAAAAAACAACTGTATATTTTTGACTGTACAGAAAATGTACTAGATACTTCTTCTTATATTAGAGGGGCCCACGATCAATTAGTTGATCATTCTGGCTCCTGGTTTAAATTCAGAGTTTGCCTTCTCTTAGATGGGTTCCCGTCCTAGACTTACGAGTCTCATCCATCCGGGGTGGTTGGGTATGTTGCCTTTGGTCGGGATTGAGCTCCAGACCACCAACTATTTGGTTTGAGACAATTTAGACCACTCGGCCATCCAGCACCATTGCATGTACATGATCATGAAAAGTGTATCAAATTTAGAAATGAATGAAATTTTAATCAAAATGTCTTTCCTTACATTTGAAATTTATGTATATCTGAATATTCAAATCCAATGTGTATCATGACACAAATGTATTTGGATGGTATAAATATTATAATGATTTGTATACAAATTTTTCACGAAATTTTAACATAATTTTAATCGAAATGTGTGTATCATAACATATATATAGAGAGAAAATGTTAAAATGACATTTGAAAGAAAAAGAGCATGTTGACATTTTGAATTGGGTTGTTTTTTTTTACAAATGAGATTAAACATTAAAATAGACTTTACAGTCTCTAGCTGACAGTTGCGAGTACTTCAAGGAACTTTTGGAAGCTAAAACTCAAAAATATTATATAACGTATTGTCTCGAGATCATTTGGTTCGTTTGGCTGAATGCAAAAGAACGATTGAAAAAAATAACCCTTAGCTACGACAGAAGTAATTCATGACTTTGCTTCTGCCGCAGAAAAGAAAAGTCTATTTGGAAATGGTTAACCTCACACCTTAAACAATTTTGGCTTGTAATTGGTGAGCCTTAAATTCAAGTGTTGCGATCTATGGATTCACGTGAAAGTGATTTAATGTACCATTTTGGCTTGTAATTGGTGAGCCTTAAATTCAAGTGTTGCGATCTATGGATTCACGTGAAGGTGATTTAATGTACCATTTTGGCTTGTAATTGGTGAGCCTTAAATTCAAGTGTTGCGATCTATGGATTCACGTGAAGGTGATTTAATGTACCATTTTGGCTTGTAATTTGTGAGCATTAAATTCAAGTGTTGGGATCTAAGGATTCACGTGAAGGTGATTTAATGTACCATTTTGGCTTGTAATTGTTGAGCCTTAAATTCAAGTGTTGCGATCTATGGATTCACGTGAAGGTGATTTAATGTACCATTTTGGCATGTAATTGGTGAGCCTTAAATTCAAGTGTTGGGATCTAAGGATTCACGTGAAGGTGATTTAATGTACCATTTTGGCTTGTAATTTGTGAGCCTTAAATTCAAGTGTTGCGATCTATGGATTCACGTGAAGGTGATTTAATGTACCATTTTGGCTTGTAATTGTTGAGCCTTAAATTCAAGTGTTGCGATCTATGGATTCACGTGAAGGTGATTTAATGTACCATTTTGGCATGTAATTGGTGAGCATTAAATTCAAGTGTTGGGATCTAAGGATTCACGTGAAGGTGATTTAATGTACCATTTTGGCTTGTAATTGTTGAGCCTTAAATTCAAGTGTTGGGATCTAAGGATTCACGTGAATGTGATTTAATGTACCATTTTGGCTTGTAATTGTTGAGCCTTAAATTCAAGTGTTGCGATCTAAGGATTCACGTGAAGGTGATTTAATGTACCATTTTGGCTTGTAATTGGTGAGCCTTAAATTCAAGTGTTGCGATCTAAGGATTCACGTGAAGGTGATTTAATGTACCATTTTGGCTTGTAATTTGTGAGCCTTAAATTCAAGTGTTGCGATCTAAGGATTCACGTGAAGGTGATTTAATGTACCATTTTGGCTTGTAATTTGTGAGCCTTAAATTCAAGTGTTGCGATCTAAGGATTCACGTGAAGGTGATTTAATGTACCATTTTGGCTTGTAATTTGTGAGCCTTAAATTCAAGTGTTGCGATCTAAGGATTCACGTGAAGGTGATTTAATGTACCATTTATTTATAATTAAAACGTAATCAACACAACAATATTTTCTCGACTAACACAGACACAGACATAAATAATATCATTGTGAGCATTGAGTATTTCTAGACGTGTTTAAATATGTTTTCACTTTTGTATTATCGATTTGATTTGATAAAGTTCCTTTAAACAATTTAAATTGCTTGCTGTGTTTCACGTATTTTGAAATTATTCGTTAATCCTTATTTTCTGTCTTTTTTTTAAAAAAACATCCCTTCGAAATTTAACAAAATAACGTTTAGAAATGTGCACACTATCAAAGAAGACTAAACAAATGTTTAATACCTAAACAGAAAGCCTGTGACATGCATCAACAGCCAACGCCTTTAAATGGATTCAAATCGTTTTTTTTTTTAGTTAAATCATTGGAATGAGCATTGACATATATCCATCCGTCGTTATCGTTACAGCCCATTAGCATACTTATTAGAAGAAGCAAAATATCAACTCTCGTGACTTATTTGGGGACAGCGCAACATGGCGTGCACTATCCGATTGAGATTGGCCCACAGAAAACTTGTCCCGTTTCGCGCTTGATCAGGATTAGCGCTATCTCAAGATTGTCTCCTTGTGTTGGCGAATTTGTCAGTGGCGGCACTATTTTAAGTTTTGCTATTCACAGGTTTTGCTGTATATGACAGTTTGTTACACACATGAACGGCACTAATAGGATCCCAACCTATGCGTTCTGATTAAGGTGGGTCCAAAGGCGTTTGCGGAACAAGCTTTAATTTCAAAAGTGTAATTCAATCAACAAATTATATACAACACTATTTTGAGTTAGAAATAGATTGGCTCTTCGGACAAAGCACATTTATACAAATGTTTGAAAACGTACATTCAGGAGCGTCTACGGGGGGGGGTGGGGGTGGGGGAGGAAGCACATGATTCAAGTCTGACTTAGGGAACCGGAATACAATATCTCTCCCCCAGCCTCTTTTATGTCAGATTTTGAATTTCTACAGGTAAACAAAAATTAATATGAAAACGGGAGAAACACGATAGCACCAGAAACTTTAATAGTCCAGGCATTGCTGGATATTAAACACCAATCCACAAGGAATAGATACATTTTCACCACATAGACAGGCAGCCAACAACCAAACCTTCGAATTTTAAGTCTTAAAAGTTACCACAAAAAAATAATCAAAAGCCAACTACAATGCATTTATTGAACAATCACTCTGTTTGATAATTTGATTTGCTGAAAAGAAAATTGGAGAAATTCTGAAATATCAGCGAAATCGTAATCGTTTGTTATCAGTATCGAACAGTCAATAAATGTTACAATATTTTTTTTATTAATTTACATTATAATAATATACTAATATCCAGAGTTACATCTCTAAATAAAGACCAAGAATGCAAAGACCCGCAGAATTGACCGTGGTCTAGTAGGGTGGGGGTGTGTAAGGCTGCCACCCCTCAATGGGGATAGACCCTTCTGGGTATATTTATTTAAGGATACATATATTCCAAAGCACAAAGATTAGGAAATGCAAAAAATACGAGAATGGTGACTTCTTTAACCTTAGGTAATATAAACTTAAGTTTAGCGAGACAATATTACCTGAAAGGCCAAAGAGACGGGTTGAATATTTTAAGGGCATACTAAATGCCTACAAATTTTACAAGATGAAGATTATCAACCACCACAATGAGGACCCCACCTTTTTATAAACTCCCCAAAATTAAAAGAAATTACAGATGTAATCACTCCTTTGAAAAACTACAAAGCTCCTGGGGAAGACCTCATCACAGCAGAACTTTTCCCCAACTATATTTACACAACATGTTAATTCTTTATAAAAAAAGTATTTTTTTAGATTTCCGTTTTCTATCTTATTTTCCCATCAAATGTTTTCATGAAAGCCTTATTAATAACGTTACATTCGATTTTATGGAGTGAAGTTCCCAGGATCACTACATGACTCAAGTATTTGGATAGGTCAATTATCAGGACAGGACACAATTATTCCGGATTATGCATCTTTTACTGGATAAACAATCTAGCGCTTAAGTCTTTGCGGTGTTCCTCTTAAAGGCAACCTCATCAGCATGTTAGAAAAGACACTTTTTTTTTTTTAAATTTTCATTATTTAACAATTTCATTAAAAATAAAAAAATACATTAAAAGGGAGATAGCAAATGTAAAATTTCAAACGATCAATGATATTACTGAGTAATGGTCTTCCATTAATGACGCTTAAATGATAGGGTACTTGACGATTAGTGAAATTTGAGGTAGTTGAATATTTTCAAACTCCACCCCCATTTCATTCAATAATTAATAATTTAAATGCTAAAGATATGGACCCCGTGAATAGATTTCAGAATTTTAAGGTGAGTCCGATTACAACACTGGGTTTCGTTGGTATGTTACCTAGTTTCTAACTTATTTATATCAATACTGCATTCGTAAAATATCGAGTAAAAAAAAACAAAAAAAACCCCATTAAGATGTACTTAAGCCAAGGTAGAGAGTAAATCTATCTGAAATCT